TCCCATTGAAGCATGAGGTGAAGTATGTTATTTGTAAAATAATGTAGCACAAAGCTCCAAGGTCAACTATAGCCAAGACAGTTTAAACTATTCTTGACATAATAGTTTCAAGCATAATATTTTATCCCTTCCAAGGTATTCTGGCTATCCCTTGCTGCATAATAAAAGTCATTAAGTTGAAATGAATTTAATTAAAGGGTAATTTTATTATTATCTCCCAGTTTTGTGGTTGGACTAGGCTCAGCCAGATGGTTCCCACTTGGTGCCATGCAGTTCCTGGGGGAAGCTGGCTGCGGTTTCGCTCCGAAGGCTCAGCTGGACTGACCTGCAACGTGCCCCACTCCCGTGCTGGCGGTTGATGCCAGCTGCCAGCTGGGAGCCGGCAGGGGTGTATGAGTGCCCTACACATGGTCTCTTCATGTGATGTGAGCTCCACACAGCGCAGCAGCTGGGTCTCCAAACAGTGTTCCAAGAGCAAGCATTCCAAGAAACTCAGGCAGAAGTGGTAAGACTTCTTGTGACTCAGTCTTAGAAGTTATGTGGTGTTCCTTCCACCTCATTTACTGGTCAGAAAGCAAGTGACAGGGCCAGGTTCTAGGAGAGGGGACCACACCAGAGCATGAATACTGGGAAGGCATGCTTCATTGCTGGTCATCTTTGGAGATTAGTTTCCAAAAGAGGCATCGTATTTATGAGGATTTGGCAATGATATTTCAACCATAGTTTTCAACCACAAAATAACACTTTGGCATTTTGTGATAAAAATTAAAGTGAGTGTCAATTTTAGAAAGTATACATCTCAGCAAATAACTACCATCTACTTTATTTATTAAACAAGTATTTATTTTTTAAAATATTTTAAAATTTAAACTTTACACACACATACACATATCTGTATTAAATGCCTACTATGTACCAATTACTGTGCTGGGGCCTGAGGATCCATAGATAAATTAGACTTGGGACCTTTCTCCTTTATAGCTTAAAGTCCAGAGATTGCATCATGAAAACAAATGAAAATCAAAACATAACCAAAAAAAAGTTCCATAGAACCTATCGGAGTGCAAAAGTAGAAGAATGGGTTTTCTGTAAAGTGTGGTGAAGACATGTCAGGAAATGCTTCTGAGAGAAGGGACTGGTGAGGGAAGTGACAGAGATAAATTCCAAATTCCTTACCATTTATTTGGGGGGGAAATGGAGGGAAGGTTAGGGTGGGAGGAGTGGGAGGAGGAAAGAGAGCATCCAAACAGAGAAAGCCGGCTGAAACAGAGGGGAGGAGGCATTATCCCCACATCCGGGGCAGCGGAGGCAGGTCCACGTGGCCACAGTGCAGAAGCCCGGGGCTGGAGAGGGGGGCGCTCAGAGACACGGGCGTCAGTTGTGTGCAATCTTACACAGATGTGTTTAATTTGGGTCACAGATCCTGCGTTTGTTTTTCTTTCACACTTTCATAATGAGCTACCTCACAATGTCTTCTACTTTTTAAATTAGTTTCCAACATTTAATAAACAGAAAATTTAACCTAAAAAATCCAGCATCTCATGAAAAAGAAAATGGTTAATTTGGCTGTACTAGGCCCAAATTCCCACTGGAGCTAAAGAATATCCCCTTCAGAGGGGTTATGAACCCTCCAATTCAAACCCTCCCTCCCGGTCCCCACTGGTCCCTCCCTTTGAGTCTGAGAGCCCCCAAGAAAGCTAGGACCAACAGTTTAGGCATGGGGGCCAGGTAACAAATAATTTTTTATGCTGTGCTCCACATATGAACTTCATCAACAGTGGGAAGCTAGTAAAGTGTTTTCAATAGGGAAATCATAAGAACAGATTTGCATCTTAAAAATGATCCTTCTGGCCTCACTGAATGATTCATGTAGGGAATTGTGCTGGAGAAGTGTATGAGCAGAAGCAAGGGGCAGGTGGCAAACTCTTTCAATATTCCAGGTGAGAACTGATAAAGTTTGATTTGAGGCAATGACAGTAGAGATGAAGACAAGGGACCCCCCAAAAGTTGAGAAGGTAATACTCAATCACCAATTAAACATCGCGGGGAAGAGCTAGGGTAACCCTCAGCCGGGGGGCTATGGGGATGTGGAGGAAAAGCCAGTGTGAGGAAGGGACCATACTTCCAGCCTTGTACATGTTGAGTTTTACTTCCTAGGGTCCATCAGGGTGGGCGGTGGTTGTGTACACGGGCCTGGAACTCGGAAGAAAGGTAAGGGTAGGGGGAGATTAGGAGCTCACCAGTTTATTGGCAGTTGAAGCCCCAGGATCAGTCAGACAGTCAAGGGCAAGGATTGGGAGTTAGAAGAGAGCCCAAGATAGAACCCTGAGGAATACCAAGCTTCTAGGATAGTCGGAGGAAGAAAGCACAGAAGAGGAGAAAGGAGAGCCCATGCCTGGAAAACACAGGGAAGGGGGGGATGTCAAGAAGGGATTGGTCATCAGAATCAAGGGCCACAGAGAGGTGGCCTGAGATGTTCACTGCAAGTGAGAGGAGGATCAGGAGATGACCTTCACAGAGCACACAGCAGATGCAGAAGTACCGGCTGAAATCCTGAGTGTGGCTGGTGTAAAAGATAACACACAAAAGACACTGTGTTGTGTGTAGGATTCAGGAAAAAAACATCAGAAATTACTCATTGAAGGACTCTACCACAGGAGACAGAGGGCTTTTAGAATTGTTCTTTTAACAAGGAGTTTACATGATCTCTTTAAACCTTTTCCAACCAAGCACCTAAAGAAAGATTAGCAAACATCCTGCTGGTTCCTTTACATCAATTGGTTAAATTTCAGAACCACTATTTATTTTCACCTAGTCAGTCCATCAACCTTAAAACAAACCCCAGAATAAGGGGTCCAAACATGTATTTCCTCCTGGATTATAAATAAGTTTTACAGGAAGAGAGGACTAAGGAGAAGAGGACTGTTGCTCTTTGTAATTACAGAAAGCTGACCATTCTTATCTGTTGTGGTGCGTATTATCTTTTTTCACTTAGTGCAAAACTGCAGTGCAAGGAAAATGAAAGCTCAGAAGAAAATGAAGGCGAATTGCAGAACACTGGTTGCTGAGAGAAGCTGCTCAACTCCTGTATACAGTGTTTAGTTTCCTATCAGCACAGACTTTGAAAGTAAGTTTCAATGATGAGGTTTTAGAAATTTGACCATTTAAAAAATGTTAAGAGACTTCCGCCAAGATGGAGGTATAGGTGGATGTGCCGTGCCTTCTCACACAACCAAGTTTAGGGACAACTAAATATTAGCATCAGAAAACACAACCAGAACACGGAAAATTGAACTTTTCGGAAGTCCGTTAACAACAAATTCTTCAGCCCGACCGGTAAGGGTCGAAACCGGTGTCTCGTGAGGGGTTGCACAGGAGGACTCCGGTCGGATGGACCCAGGCGCGGAATACAGACGCGGGAATCCAGACGCACAGGTTCCAAACCCAGGATTGGACCTAGTGAGCGACCGAGCAACCCACCAGGTGAGCGACTGCTGAGGAGACAGTGGGGAGGCAGTGCTGCGTGTTGACTGCGGTTGCCTACCTGCGGGTGAGCGGACAGGACAGGCGAGGGAGTGGGCGGTTGGACCGGGGGTCCCCGTGGCATGCGGCAGTAGAGGGCGCCGCCATTTCCCCGCTCTGACCACGCCCCCACATACAGCGTCACAACCCAGCGACCTGGGAGTCCAAGGTGCCGCTTCTCACATTTAAAGGGCCAGAACAGACCAAAAATGTCGCAGGAAGACCTCAAAGCCCCAGAGATAAATCTAAGCGACGAAGAAATAGCAAAACTCTCAGACGCACAGTTTAAAACACTGGTCATCAGGTTCCTCACAGATCTGGTTGATTATAGCCACAAATTAGAGAAACATATGAAGGCTAAATTAAGGGAAATGAATGGAATTCCACAGGAAACCCATAGAGATGAAAAGGAAACTGGGACTCAAATCAATGGAGTGGACCAGAAGAAAGCAAATAATGGCCAAACAGAAAAGAGTCAAGGAGCAAGAATTCAAAGAAATGAGGAGAGTCTTAGGAACCTCCAGGACATCTTTAAACGCTCCAATATCCGAATTATAGGGGTACCAGAAGGGGGAAAGACACAACCACCAGTGGAAAAATTATTTGAACAAATAATAAAAGAAAATTTCCCCAATCTGGCAAAGGAAATAGACTTCCAAGAAATCCAAGAAGCTCAGAGAGTACCAAAAAAGTTGGACTCAAGAAGAAACACACCAAGGCATATCATAATTACATTAGCCAAGATTAAAATGAAGGAGAGAATCCTAGAAGCAGCAAGAGCTAAGGGGACAATCACCTACAAAGGAGTCCCCATCAGACTGTCAGCAGATTTCTCAAAAGAGACCTTACAGGCAAGAAGGGGCTGGAAAGAAATATTCCAAGTCATGAAATCTAAAGACCTACAACCAAGATTGCTCTATCCAGCAAAACTTTCATTTAGAATGGAAGGACAGATAAGGTGCTTCTCAGATAAGATCAAATTCAAGGAGTTCATCATCACCAAGCCCTTATTATATGAAATGTTAAAGGGACTTATCTAAGAAAAAGAAGTTAAAGAAACATGAACAGTGAAAGAACAACAAGCTCACAGTTATTAACAACCACACCTAAAACGAAAGCAAACTAAAAGAACAGCTAGATCAGGAGTGGAAATATAGAAATGAAGATCTCAAGGAGGGTTAGCAACAGGGGAGTGGGAGGAGGAGATGGGGGGAGAAGGTACAGAAAATAAGTAGCATAGACAGTAGATAGAAAATAGATGGGGGGGGGGGCAAGAATAGCATGGGAAATATAGAACCTAAAGGACTTGAGACACATGGACATAAACTAAAGGGGGGTAATGGTGGGGATGGGGGGGCAGGGTGGAGGGGAATGAAGGGGGGAATAAAACAACTGTAACAGCATAATCAATTTAAAAAAAATAAATTAAAAAAAATAAATAAATAAGTTTTACAACAAAAGGATTGTTCTTATATTTTTCTCTTTTGTTGTCAAGAGATTTTACCAACAGAAAGTTCCATGAAAAATGTAATTAGATTTGGGATTTATGTTCTTGTCCTAAGAAGTCTAACTAGCAAGAAAGAAAAATAGGTAATAGCCCTGCCTGGTGTAGCTCAGTGGATTGAGCACGGGCCTGTGAACCCAAAGATTACAGTTCGATTCCCAGTCAGGACACATGCCTGGGTTGCAGGCCAGTTCCCAGCAGGGGATGCATGAGAGGCAACCATACACTGATGTTTCTTTTCCTCTCTCCTTCCCTTCCTCTCTAAAGATAAATAAATAAAATAAAATAAAGAGAGACATATTTTCTGATTTTGAATTTTCCTTCTGAAAGGACTTTTTTTTCTTGTTTAATTTTTCAAAGGATAGTAGGATTTTTTTAAAGTGAGAAAGTCAAATCTCTGAATGCACACCTTTCTATTGAAAAACTAGGCTGTGAGGGTTAAAGTGATAAGAGGCCAGTTGGCGGGGCTTGGAGTTTATTGTTCTGTTGGTGTGTGTGTGTCTGTTTTAATATTGGTGAGACTTAATTCTTCTAATGGGCTGTAAGAAACCAACAGCAATGAGAAGGCAGAAAAGAGATGAATAATTTGTGCTGCAGAGTTCAATAGAAGGGAGGGGGTCTGTCTTGTATAGAAGGGATGCTTCGTTCAAACTATAGGAAAGGTGAGTATGTCATGGCCACATAACGTTATAGATGCAGACAGATTTTTCTCTGTGAGGCAGATGAGGCAAAGTCTGAGCCAGGGGAAGGGGGCTACCTCCTGCTCAGAGCTATGAAGGTTAGGGGAGGAAGAGAGGCAGGAATAAATGAAAAAAATGGACATGTACACACCAGGCCCCGGCTAAGACAGCCATATTTACTTTCAATTTGCCTCATTTAGTACAGAAATGCTTTTAAATGACTTCTAACTAAATAAAAATTAACTGAGAACAATGAGAGGAAGGAATGGACAAGATGGTATTTGATATGCATTTCAAAAGAGGGTAGACTTACAATTATTCATTCACTTATTTATCCATTCAACAAATACTGAGTGGCTATTATGAGCCAGACACTTGTCTCGATACAGTTAATGGTCGTTAAAAAGACAGACGAGAAAGCCCTGTCTCCGAGAGCACACAGCCTAACCCTCTCCACAAACGTGCCAAGACAGTCCTTGCTCATGTTCCTACAAAATGTTTGGCTTCTCCGCAGCTTCCACTGCTACGCAGAATGTGCCAAGGAACAGCCTTTCTTCTTAATAAAGGGCTGAAGCACAAAGAACAAGTGTGAATCAGCTACACTGAGGACAGTTTGGTTAATACTCATTCAAATAAAACTGGAAGGACGTTTCAGAAAAAGAATGCCATCACTCAAATGGGGACTTGGCCCAGCCTCCAGATTTAACAGTCTCTGAAAGAATCGGTGTTTTCTGATAATCTGTCTGACATGCTTCGTTCAGAATGTGATTTTCTGACTAATGCACTAGTCACAAAACCATTTCTGGACTAAGTGACAGATAGACATTGTCAAATCCATGGGAGGTCCCCCAGGTGTGTGCTGCAGAAGCAAGGGGTGTGGCCATATGCTTTCTGGTCAAGTTTCAGGATAAATAGACTGAAAGAACAGAACTGTTACCAGGATTTGGCCACCCTGGGGAGGAACGTGGTGTTTCGACAACACCCTTCCTGGATTGAAAGCCACGCAGACACGGACCATCATTCCAGGCATTCGGCACACTGGTTTATACCAGCAGCCAAGTGCGGAATTGCCAGGAACTGGCCAAATCCACGGAGACAGCAGTCATTCTGAATGCTGAAAAATGTTTGTAATATACTGGAATAAATGTAAGCCTGACTCATTTAATCAGATCTGAGTCCCACACGGGGAATTTCTGCACAGGAGAGAGATGTTTACTGAAATCTTACTTTTCTCCCCTGTCGTCTCCCATTCCAGGAAGAACAACTATTATCTGGTTGGCCTTGCCAATGTCTTGGTCATTACTATGGATGCTTCTAACATACGTGTTTCCACCTCACTCTGAATTCAGTACAGTGGGAAGTGATGAAAATAATACTCTTTCTCCTTATTTTAGGTTAGATTTAAAATGAACTAAGTATTACTAAAAGACAGAGGTTTAAAGAGCAGAAGATTCTTTCTCCATTTTTGGCAAATTTCAAAAATTGGTTTCCCCAAAACCAACGAGATGAGAAGGGGGAAAGGGTTAGTTACACACCCCATGCAGGGCTGCCTGGGCTTGTAGCAGCAGGGAGGGAACAGGCCCGGCCTCAGGGGCTGCCCAAACTTCCTGACATGAAGGCAGGAAATTGAGCCAGCTGGTCCAGGCTCTCCTCCCCAGTTTCTTTTAAGTACAGTCTTGATTCCTCAAGTTCAGAAATTTGATTTTCCCAAAGACTGATCCAGCCCCACGTCACTGATTCATACCTGAGTTCAGAAGTCAGGGGCTTGAGAGCCCAAGTCATGTGACTCCGATGCCCCTGCTCTTTCTGATGGGCTGCCCTACTGTGGCGGGAACCCTCATGCTGGTGCAACAAGAGGTTACGAAATGGCTTCCAAAGAGCAGGTGCTTTGGGGGAGTGGGAGGGAGCACAGCAAGTACCAGGGTAGGACAGGCCACCTGGAGAGAGCTGCAGTGCACACAGGACCCACCTGACCGAGGGTCAGGAGCCAGAGTCCAGTTCCAGGGCAGGCCAGGGATGGGGGGATGGCAAGAGATCATTAGGCCTCCACTCAGAACTGAGACAGAAACTCTCTCAGGAAAACAGCAGAAGCCAGAGATTAGAAAAAAGCTGGGTGCAGGGAATGCCGGAGGGGCCCACCACCACAATTGTTAACCTGCAACTGAGTTTCAGAGCAGTCCATCTATTGCAGCTCTTTCTATCTCGGCCCAGAGCCCAGCAGGGCCTGAAGGTGGAGCCAAGTGGCTGCCAGCCCTGGGGCCGAGCAGAAAAGCAGGGCAGCGAACGAGGCAGATCTCTGCAGCACCACCACCAACCAGGCTTCGGAGTTCGAAATTCTTTTCTACGTCCTCTTTCTTGACTGTTCTAAAATGGGCTGTTGATTCTGCTTCACCTCTGGAAAACTTTCCTGGAGATGGCTTGAAAGGCATACTATACAATTTACCACCCAAACCTGGACAATGAAAAGTTACATGGACAGTTGTAAATAATTATGCCAGTACAGCAGTCATAAACCAGGACTGACCCTGGCCAGCGCAGACAGGCGGTCACCCTAGCTGGAGACCAAGCATGGAGGACTCAGACAAGCCTGGGCATAGCTGGCAGAGAGGGGAATAACCCTGTTCAGTTTCTACAGGCCAGGCCAGGGGACTGCTGGGAAGTAACTCACTCTTAACAGAAAAGTCAAAGTACACAAACTGGGTTCAATGACACCCGACAGGGCCAGAAGGGAGGGATGATTTCGCCCACTGTTGGCTGCACCCGACATCCTGTGACCCAGGTGCCATGGTTTTAAAAAGCCAGTGAAACTAAAAAGAGCTGTTTCGTTAAAATGTCCATGTGAGAGGACATTAAAGATACAAGGGTTAGCAAGATCATGTGACAGAGACTTCAGCAGCAACAGAGAAGGTGCAGTTGACACTCCAGTTGGGTGGGACATCGGTGGTTAGTTCAGCACCTTCAGTGGGTGCCAGCATGTTGTCCACACGATCCAGGGTCGGGCAGGGATTGGAGCCACTATCACAGCCACTGAGAGCTGGAGAGCCAGGCACATGGTGCCCTGCTTGCACCTCGAGGCACAAAGCAGGTCATCTATGAGGAGCATGGAACTGCTGTGAGGAAGAGAAGGGCTGCAGTTTCACGGAGTGGATAGAGAGAGAACCAGAGAAATGTTATTTCAAAAAGGATGGCTATTTTTACTTTAATTTTAGCCCCAAGCTGATGACAGCTGGGGAACTTACATATTTCTCCATCACGGGGTAAGGTACTCACCTATGTTGTCTGAGTTTGGGAACCTTCTTCACTTGGGGTCACTCAGTTCTTATCAGTAGTTTTGTGGTTGAAAGTAGGCATGAACCCCCCCCCAAATATATACATCCAATAACACCTGCATCTATAAAATAATGCAGGAAAATATTTACACATATTAATCAACATATAATAAAGGAACATTTTCCAAAAATTCTAAAAATTTTAACCTTTTGCTACCTCGTAAAGAATGGTATGTACTGATTCTCCCCAATATCCAACTGATTAGTGTTAGTCTTTCAACAATTTGAAATTAGATGCTGTTTTGAAATAAAATGACTCACTCGCCAAATGGCTAAGATGAAAAAGACAGGCAATACCAAATGTTAGCAAAGATGTTGAGCTAGAATTCTAACACAGAGCCAGTGGGAGTGTGAATTGGTATAACTTCTTCAGAAAACTGGCAGTATCAACTAAGAGTGAACATATGCACTTCTACTCCTAGTAGAGGCACAACAGCAATGTATACGTACGTTTAACAAAAGACATGGCCACGAATGTGTACAGCAACACAATTCATAACAGCCCAGTGCTGGAAACTACCTAATGTTTATCAACAGCAGGTTGGGTAGATAAATTCTAGCATATTCAAACAATGAAATACTGCCATGCAGATGAGCAAGTACAACTACGCATCACAACAACATGAATGAATCTCACAGGCATAAAGCTGAGGAGCAAAAGAGGCCACACACAAAATTACAACCCCTAAGCAAGCAAAATCAATCGATAGTGTCAGAAGTCAAAAAGTGACAACCTTGCGGGGTGGATAATGGCCAGGGACACAAAGGAGGCTCCTGGGAGCTGATAATGTTCTGTTTCTTGACCTGGGCTCTGATTAATGGGTGTGAAATTTTATTGTGCTCATCATTTGTCACTTCTGCTATATTCTACTCATCAAGCTAGTCCCTAAGGCCAGTCCGTATTTGAGAGAAGTATCATGAGGTACACTCCACTTCAGGATAAGGCATGACAAAGATGCACTGCAGAAGAGCAGGTGGGGTGAGTAAAATTGTTATAGAAAATACAATCTATTCCAATTACAAGAGCAAAGGCACTTTAAATTTGTAAGTAATGTTTTAAATAAGTTTTATAATCTACTCTAATTATCCAGGGCAAATAGAACTCAGCATTATTGTGGAGTAAAGCCAAAACCTCAGGAAAGCAAAGAAAATAAAAGCAACTTCTATTATCTGAGAGAAAAGACAATAAAAGATAAGTATAATGGATGAATATGTGTATGAAGGATAATGAAAGTTCTTTGTACTATTCTTACAATGATTCTGTAAGTTGGAAATTATTTCAAATTAAAATTTAAAAACAGATAATAATAATAATAACAACAACCAAAACACACAAGACCAGGAAGGACTGTCCAGTTTGGGTCACATCCATTCCCTGGACCAATAACTCTGACCAGAGGCGTAGGGCACATGAGTATGTCGGTCCCAGAAACATGCCCAACAAGACCACACGAAATTGGAAGGGGGTTACTCTCCAAGGAGATAAACAATGGGAAAATTACACACACCTGCAGCAAATGTCATACACTGTATCTGACAGTCATCACAAGAGAAATTCTTAAACTTCTTGTGTCGAGAATGAGGAAGTATGTTCTCTCCAAGCTGCATTTAACACTAAGATTCCAGTGTTCTCTTGTTCTCTACCTAACACATGTCAAATCCATTAGTATTAATATTAAAATGTTTTTAAATATAGATCTGTTGTAAAACATACATCCAAGTACAACTACTGATGGCTATCATGTTTCGTTTCTCTTTGAGTTTCTCTCAAAACACTCCTCTGTCTATGAACATGTGTTAACACTTTTTTGTCTGGCAGTTTGGATAAACCCTCCATGTTGTTTTGACCACATACATTTCTGTTAACAGCCGTGAGTCCCACATCAAATAACTAACTGCATACTACAGGTGGGGCAGGCTGAACTGAAGCTCCCACTCCTCCTCTCAAGGAAGAAACTTGGAATTAGAGAGGTAAAGGGACCAAGTCAAGCAGAGAAGAACGTTTTAACATAATAAAGCCAAAACTCTTTGCAAGAAGTAGACTTAAAGTTATGTTATTAGAAAAAATATACATTTCTCTCACAGACCATGTAACAGAGGTGGGCACACTTTTTCTTTAAAAGACCAGACAACAAATACTTGCATAAGCTTTGCAGGCCATACAGACCCTGTTGCAACTACTCAACTCTGCCATTACAGCACAGAAGCAGCCACAGACAACGCTTAAATAAATGAGTACCACTGTGTTCCAATTAAACTTTACAAAAACAGGCCTGTGGGATTTGGTCCATGGGCCAAAGTCTGCCAACCCTGGGATCAAACTTAAAAACAAGAACAACAGCAAAAAAGAAACCCTCCATCACCTAGGTGAGATGTGTTTGTCTTTGGGTAAAGAAAGAGCAAGCCCGGACACAGTCCTGTTGGGGAGAACAAAGAGAAGTTGAAATATTTCAGTTTACCCAGCCCTCTACGCCCTCCTGCCATGGGGCGGGAGCTCACGCTTCCTCTCCTCTGGGGAATCAGCAGGCGCTTCAGCTGACCGAGCTGTGCTCACATCCAGCTGGGGCCAGAGAGGCAGAACACTCGAAGGGGGTGGGACTTAATTCCAAGGGAGGAGGCATGTTCTGAGGAAATGTCAGGAACACCTGTGCTGCAGATTAAAGGGAGAAGTGGAGAGAAGGCAGAAATTAGAAGGTGAGGGAGTATCAACATGCTGAAGCCCACCCAGAGAGCACATCTCCGTATCATACAGAGATATGAATCACCTTACCTAGATTCCAGGTCCTAATCTTTCTTGGAACCTTCTCTTGAATGCTTCAGAAAAGAAGCTCTTAAGCCTCCTGCAGGCCCTGGTTCACTTCCTACCACTCTCCCCCTCACTCAGTCATCTTCTCCCATACTGACCTCCTTGCTGTTCCTTGAACACAGATAGTATATTCCCACCTCAGGGCCTTTGTACCTCCTTACTCTTCAGACAGATTGAAAGGTCTTCCCTTAAATATTCAAATGGTTCATTCTCTTCATTTGGATTTTTCTCAAATGACATCTTCTCAAAGATGCCGTTCTTGACTTTTCTGTCTAGAATGGCATCCTCATCAGGTTCCGCTTATTTTAATTTTTCTTCACAGCACATATCACTGCTTACCTGCCCAATAGCATGTGAGTTGAATAAAGGCAGGGACTTTGCATAGTTCACTCCAGTATCCCAAGCACTTTGAATAGTATGTAGGACACAGATGGTGCTCAATAAATATTTACTAAATAAATGGATGAATCAAGTCTAATATGTCTGTTATGGTTAATTTTGTGTCAACTCGATTGGGCTATGGTGCACATCTATTTTGTCAAGCATTATTCTGGATGTTTCTGGGAAGTGTTTTTGGATGGGATTAATATTTAACTGGCATAAAGCAGACTGCCCTATATAATGTGGGTTGGCCTCATCTAATCAGCTGAAGGCATGAATAGAACAAAAAGGCAAGAGGGCATTTGCATCAGCCTTTGGACTTCATATGCAATATCAACCAGTCCTGGTTCTACAGCAGACTGACTGCCTTTCAACTCCAACCATATTCTTTCCTGAGTCTCCAGCCCCTCAACCTCCTTCCCAGGATTTTGGACCCACCAAGGCTCCACAACTGTGGAGGCCAATTCCTTAAAATAAACCTCTTTATGTATGTATCCTATGGGTTCCATTTCTCTGGCGAAAACTGACCAATGCAGTTTCTAAGTCAAACTGTGCCACATTCTTTACTAAGGAGTTCTTCCTAATAACTCTATTAGGAAGACTTGTTTTTCACAATGTGATTCAGGGATCTGAAACTTCTGCATATTTTTGTCAGATCTGCAGGTAATATGGCCCCAAGTGACTTTCTTCCCCATGACAAGCAAAATGGGCACTGGAGAATGGAGCAGAGAAAAATCAAACACATTTTTGAAAGATTATAGCTGATTATCTTAGAAATACTGGTGCTTGGAACCATCTGGAGACTTTTTATCTTTCCTTCGTACTATATTATTTTATTCATATTTAGTGAACAGGAAGGTTGATCTACACCCTAACCTGTCTATATCCTAGAATAGTAAAGAACATAAAATATCAAACATACGAAGTATCTAGATTTTCAGCCATCTCGATGGTATTTGTATGTCTACTTATGACAATAATGATAAAATCTACGGGATGTGATGTGTTTTCATAAGATACTCCAGGGTAAGGCCCCGCCTTCCCACGTCATTCAAACAACTTTTTTAAAAGAAAAACAAAATTCCCTATCCTAATAGCACTTCAAAATCCTGCCATGAGGAAGCTCAACTTCCCGGCATTGCCAAAGCGCTGGGCTGCCTTTAAACCCTTTTGCCTATCCCTGTCCCCGCCCCCTCCATCCTCCTAACTGGCCGGAGGAAGGAACCTTCCCAGCTAATCCAAGTTCAACAGGATCCTCCTCCCGCGCGTCTTTCAAAGGCCACCTAGGAACCAATGAGCGGTTAGAAGCCGAGCCAGGGCACCCGGGAGGCGGAGTAACAAAAAGGGTGAGAGTGTGATTGGTTCTTAGGAGACGCCGCGCCCCACCTTACAAAAGGATATACCAATGAACTGAGCGGAGGGGCGGGCTCGGCGCGGGCCTTGAGACTCTGGTGCAACCGGGAGAAGGTGGCCGGTCGCGACGTGGGGCGGCCAGCGATGAAGCCGGTGAGTCGGGGTGAGGCTTGGATGGACGAAGTCACAGGGACGTGAATGGCGTGGCTTCTGCTGTTGGCTTTTCCACTTACAGTATAACCGATGTCAGTTTATTCTGGATCTCAGTTTTATTCTGCTCTCCAGTGCCTGGGCCCGGGGACAGCCCGGGGCTGGTCGCGGAACGACTCGCGCAGTAACCGTCATGGGTAGGGGAGCCACTTCCCGGGACCCACGAGAGTGGTGGCTGGGAAAGAACAGGGTCGATGGAGAACGAGGGAAGATGGACATTTGCTGTGCGCATCTTGGGGGCTGTGTGCTGTCGCTTGCGGAGTCACCTAAGCCTCGCAACAGCCCTGCCAGAGAGGGCTTAGCCCTGTTTTACCAAGGAAACGGTGGCTTGGAGAGTTTAAGTGTTTCAGTGTATCTCTATCAGTCTGCCGGATACCCCATCCCCAAAGGATGTACCGGGCTGCCCTGTGCCCCGTGTGGAGCAGTCCTTGCCGTGGGTGAGGAAGTTTTCATAAACAACAATTGCCAACCTTGGCTTCTGGGTGTTGTCACCACCCCCCGGGGCCACCTGGCCCTGCGTGCCTTTCCCTGAGGTTCAGAACCCCTGGGTCTTGGCGAGTGGAAACGTCCAACTGTATTAGGATTTGTAAACCTGCCTGAGAGAGTGGGCCACACAAATTGAAAATCGTGAATCATCAAAACTGCTTTAAAGAGAAAGAAAGAAAAAAAAAAAAAACCAGATGCAAGAAGCCAAGTCCCACCTGACTCATGTCTCGTACCACTAAGGTTGACAAGTTATTGAAGAGCCTTCATTTGAATTGAGTTGATAATCATAATACAGACAGATGCAAAGCATTTCAAATCCATAGCCTAATTTGGCTCCGTAATGTGATCTTGAAATAACAAAGACCATTATAGAATATAGCTTCAGAGCTGGAAAGGTCATTAGGTGGTTATACTTACTAATCCTTGTGTTATGATGGGGAGAGACATCCGTTGAGCTGTCCTTGGCATTCCCTACTGTTATCATGGACCCCCTCATGTTATCATGGGGACATCCCACTCTGTTATCGGGCGCCCCCTGGGGACAAGTGACTGATCTGATCCTCAAGTTTTGGAGAAGCTGAACAGAAAAGCTCAACCCTTCCTTCCCTTCTCTCTGCAGAGAGTCCATTCTGGAGTGCTCTCTGCTACCCAGGAGCCCTGGGTTGTCATTGGCTGCCTATGGCTGGGAAATCCAGTTCTGGAATGAAGAAGCCCACCAGAGCACTGCTTTAAAGCCATATGATGCTCAGTAATAAAATTAACGCATTGATCTCCATTTGCTTTCCTTTGTCCAACTAAGGAGAGGAAAGGTATATTTTTATTGGTCCTGTAAAACTCCAACAGTGTTTTTCATGTAGTCATGCTGCCTACAGGATTGAGTTCCAACTCCTTAGCACACCAAGTCTACCTCAATCTCTCTAGTCCAATGATTCAAAGTTGAGGGCCAGTTATTCCACCTATACTCCTACCCCAACCAAATCACTGGGCTGCATGGGGGTTATTTTTTAATAAATAGGGTAGGTAAAACTACATCCTTCTCTAGCTTCATCTCTGCTCTGATATCAGTTTCAAAATAAACAAGCCCTTTCTCCTTTTGCCATAATAGCCTTAACTTCTTCCCTGTCTGCCTAAAACCTCCAGCTCATCCCTCAGAACCCAGCTAATGCATCACCTCTGTGAAGCATTCTCCAGCTCCCTAAGTAGTCATTCACTCCTTTTCTAAACTGCATAGATTATACTTCCATTTTAGCACTTAAATTTTCCTTCTGTAATCTGTGCACACACATCTGTGTCTCCAACTATTCTGAAGGTAGGCTTTTTACTTTATGGGTCTTTGCTCTCTAGAACTTGGCAAATGAAGGTGCCCAGGAAATGTTTGTGAAGGGATGAATACATCTCACTGTATAGTTGTAGAAAACTGAGATCCAGAATAAACTGACATCCTGTGTACAGTAAATGGCAGAGCCAACACCAGAAGCCAGGTTTCTTGATTCTCAAACTGACTCTCCACTACAGTGTGCTTGATTGTTAATAGGATAGTAAGTTGCATTAATTTAGTATTGATATGGCTGATCTCTCTGATATTCCATATTGAATAAATTGCAAATATGCATATAGTGTGTGTTTAATCAAAGATCATTTGTACTAAGACTATATGTAATAGTTTTTATAGCTATTTAACATAACTGTTTTCTTTTGAAGCCTAGTTCATTGCAAACAAGTGAGTTCGACTCATCGGATGAAGAGCCTATTGAAGATGAACAGACTCCAATTCAGATATCATGGTATGTTAACATTTGTGACCAATGATGAGCTAAAATATTCAATGTATATGTCATAATCTTTGTAGCATGAAGAACATATTGAAAATATGTAATGATTCCCTCCCACTGTTTACATAATTCTAATCTTTACAGGATTGTCTAACACCATAATTTATTTACTATCTATAATAGAATTGGGCTTTTTTGCAGGTGGGGATGGGGGGGTCCTTTATACTTTGAGACAACCACAGTAGAAACAAGTAAGGAGTTGAGATTGGACAGGAAAGATCTCCCATTTAGTACCAAAACCTACTTATTCTTTTACGACCAAAGGTAAGCATGCTTACCAAATAGGGTATTTAATCATTTTATCGTTTATCATTTAATCATTTATCATTTAGTCAAATCCTGGAACTGCTTTCCACAGCAATGCCTGTCAGACCATTTAAGAAAAAAACCACATTACCATTCTTATCCCTTGCTTTGTTATCATTTAAGTCCTAAAAAAAAGTGGCAAGACTAGATACACATTACCATAGATACAATAACAAATACAAATGTCTATATAAAATCAAGTTCCAAATCTAGGCAGTGACTAT